TTATGTTAATTCGAGTGTCGTTATTAGTAGTTAGCCTAAATAAGGTATAATTAGTAGATAGGATCTTCCTATCTTTATACTTTTTACTTAATATTCTAAACTTATTAAGTACTGCGCGTAGGTATTACTCTTAGTTAAGGAAGATTATATAGTGCTTTTTATCTCTTATAACTTGTACTCTAAGGACTTTATCTACCTTCCTTAGGTTCTTAGCGTTAAATCGTCCAGAAAGCTTCTTTTAGAACTACTTAGTCTAAAATTACTCCTTTGCCGCTGTAAGGACGTCGTTAACGTAGACTAGGATTCGAATCTTTCTCTCCTCATAGACAAACATATAAGGGTCTATAAGGCTTTATACAAATCCTTATGCAAGAAGCTCTTTCTTTATTAATAAGTTCTAGTCTCGAGTAGCTTGCTTTAGTCCGTATAGGCTTTAAAGGACTTTTAGGATATATCCTTTCTTAACATAAACTCCTTCTGGTGGCTTAAGGAGGATCTATTCCTTAAGATAAGACTTAGTAAACGCATTCTTAATATTATAATAAAAACATTCCAAGTCTTCTACTACAATAGTAGCCAGGAATAAACGCAAAATATATATATAGATAGTTAGCGCAAAGGTCTTATTATAGTTAATACCCTATACTTGCGTAAAACCCCTTGCCACAAGGCGTGCCTTAAATTATTCAACTATCCCGTCTAGCTTAGTCTTAATTATAAAAACCTACTTTAAGTTAACTATATTTGCGTTTTTTGCTGGTAAGACTTCTTCCCAGGTTCTATTTTCTATTAGTAAGATTATCTCCTCTAGCACTGCTGCTTTCCATTAATTTCCGTACTTTAGGTCGTGGATAGCTTATTATTATGTCTAGGGAATCCAAATTCCTGCAATTTTAGTTACTAAAAAGGCTTTCTCGAAAGTCTGTGCTTACTCGTCCGTAAAGTCGACTCGTGCTAGCGTAGCTTTAATAATTTTCTAGAATCTTTTATCTTCTATAGTGTCTTCGCTAGACCTCTTGCGTTTAGACCCTCTTATGAAGTATCGTAGAGCTTCTGGCAAGACTTCTACAGGTTTTCTAGGCTCTTTGTTTACTAGGTCAGGTACTCGCTTATCTTAAGGCAGAGCTGTAGGAAGAGCAGCGTTTAGCTTCCTTAGTCTTCCTCTTTTACGCTTAATTAGCTCGGGAGTTGGTTCTACTTGTTCTGCAGGCGATAGTTCCATTTGCTCCGTAGTCGGTGGTTCCATCTCGTCTGCAGTTGGTAGTTCTATTTATTCCATAGCGGCTTGTTCTGTCAGTTCTGCAGGAGCTGGTTGAGCGGGAGTTAGTTAAGCAGTAGTTAATTTAGTAGAAGTAGGATCTTTCCTTGGTCTTCCTCTTAGTTTTCGGTCTGGTATAGTATTTTGCGTTCCCTGTGATCTAGCTAGGATGTTTCGCAATTGTAGTTCGACCCTCCCTCTAGGCGTGTGTTTGTCCACTAATATGTGGCTTAATCTTGAGGTGTATCCCAGTTCTGGCGAATAGAACTTAAACTACTTATTTATTATCTTAGAATAGCCTATAAATACTCTAACTCTGCTACGGTCTACAAGCTTGTCGTGTCGTTAATCTACTAGAATTATCTTAGGGTGGATGTAGGAGTAGCACTTGCTCCCCTATACACGGATGTAGTTAATAGATAGCGTCTTTCCTGTAAAAGCCTCTTTAGGGCTGACTTGCTTTCTATTAATTATAGGTCCTATATTAGTGCGGTTTTGCATATATGTATCTGCCTCTATAGCTTTGTTCTAGAACTTAATTAGTAGACTAGCGTCCTTAAGCATTGCTCTTATGTTAGCTTCTATAGTTTAGATATTTCGCTTAGCTAGTCTATTTTAATATAATAACGTAATTGTAGTAGGCTGTAGTTCTACTCCCTATATAACTCTTTATTCCTTAACTTATTATAAGTGTCAGATTAGACAACCTACTGTGAATCACAGTAAGTTATACTGTTGCCTATAGTATGAGTGCGACCCATCTACTGTCTCCTCACCTAAACTATCGCCCAGAGTGCGATAGGATGAAGAAGGGAGGCTGGCGCACTATTGCCCCTACACTATCCTATATAGTGCAAGCGTGAAACATCGCTAGATAGACACCTTGCGCACATCCACGGTTTCCACAATTAATCATTACATCTATTAACTCTCATTATCGCATTATCTTAAAGTGACAGAACACTATTAAATCTAACAATAAGAGTTCTAGTGCGTTGTTAGTCCTAGCAGCTTTAACTTTTTTATTAGTTTAATATTTAATAAAGGTCTTCTAGACTTTAAGTTCCTTTTATGCGTCTCCTTTATACTTTAACAGGATAACCCAGTTCTTTCGCGTGTAGCTATTAATAATAGGGAGGAACCATTAGTTTCCTCTTAAAGATATTAAAAAGGGTCCTATAATATTAAACTATATTAAAGCTAGCTTCGTAGCCTTGTACTCTCTTAGCTGCTTAGGGATGCTATTCCTTATCTTTATTAAGGCGCAGACTTTGCAGGGTTCTATCTTTTCTAGTACTTAAATCTTCTTCTGGAGGGTTATGACTTCGTGGAGTTTCGCGATCTTTGCAGGCCCCAGGTGTGCGAAGCGTCTGTGATATAGTAAGTATCTCTCTTTTTCGCCAGTCTTGAGTTCCATTTCGTCAAATTCTGCTAGTGTATACTATTCTGTGCTTGGGAATGCCATCTCTCGGTATCCATCGGCGATGTGTGACACCATATAGAGGCTATCGTCTATAGTTGCTTTAATAATTGTCTTCTTTCCTAGTTTAAAATATAGAGTATTTAAGTTAAATTAACCCTTTAGGCCTACTACGCAAATTCGTCTCCCTAATAATAGATTAACTCTAAGGTTAGGTACAAGCAGTATATCTAAAAGCCATATTAATAACTTATCTTTATATACTACTTAAGCTTCTCCCTTCTAGTCTGCATATAACTCTCCCCCTTTAACCTAAACAAGTCTTCGCTTAATCTTGATCATCCGTCTAAATAATAAGGGTTGGTTAGATATGTGTGAGGAAGCGCTAGTGTCGCCGGCCTAGGTAGATAGAGAGGCCTTACTAATAATGTCTTTTAAGAGACGGCATGTCTCGATTTCCTCGTCTTCTAAGTCTAAGGTATTAGTTAATGTCTCTAGCTCTAATTTTAACCTACCTTCTTCTTCAGCTCTATATGCATTGCTAGTCTTTTTGTTAGATTTCCTGGGCTTAATAGGTGGCTTAGGTAGCTTTAGAGGGGACGGCTTCTTCTTCCTTCGCTTCTTCTTAGCTTTATATTCCCTTAGGAGCTTTCGAGCCTTCGTAAGCTTTAAATAGTCTCGCATGTAGTGAGATTTGTTGCAAAGGTAGCACTGGATGCCGGACGTAGCGCTAGGTTCGGAGTTGGATAACAGGTCCCTGTTGCCTCGCTTGTGTGGCGGAACGTACTTGTGGGCTTTTCGGAATGCTGGAAGAGCTTGTTTGTTAGTATCTTGCTAGTCTCGGACCTCCTTCTCTTCCAGGAACTTAAGCTTTTGTTCGACAGTAAGGTTAAGCTAGGCATTTAGGGTGTTAATCGTAGTTCTAAAACTTAGAAGGAGTAATTTAATAAGAATAAGTAGTAGTATAGCGTCTTTATAGGCTCTATTAGTATTAGCGTCTACTAAGACAAGCTTGCGCTAGTAATCCTTTAGCTTTTTCTATAATCTAATAATCGTGCTCTTAGAATCGAATGTAAATATCTAGATCCTAGTTATGTACATGTTAGTAGTAATAGCGTTAGCTTAGGTGTACTTCTTTCGCAGGTAAGCCTAGAACTAGAAGGCAGTATTATACTTATTAATAAGGGCCTAGTTATTATCGCTAAGGGATCTAAATAAAAGGTTAATTACGATTGCCTCGTCCTCTAGGTACTTGTCTCTCTTGTTAACATTAATACGGGCCTTAACAGTCTTATTATTTATAATGTCCAGTCCTTTCACAGCATCTAACAGGTCTTTAGTAGTAATAATTTGGTAGTGCTCCTCCAGGCTTCTCTCGCACACGTAGAAGACTCTTTTCCCTCTTAGCTTGACTTTGTTCCAGCGGAACTAACTATCATGATTCTCTGCTGTAAGTTTGGGAATCTTCCACTTTTCCTTCTCTTCGGCCATCATGTGTGTGCGGATGTGAGGAGGCTCACACGTGTCGGTTGCAGGTGGTGCAGGCGGTGCAGGCGGTGCAGGCGGTGCAGGCAGTATGCAAGCGATGCTGGCAGCGTAAGGTGTATGCGAGTGGTATGTATGTATGCGTTATGCTGTAGGCAGTGCAGTCGTTGTTAATTCTTAAGCGTAGAGAAGGTGTATATAGGTAAAGTTAATTCCTACTTAAATCTAAGTCCTGCGCGACTCTAGTCGATAACTAATTCCTTTTACAAATTATAGCTAAGTCCTTTATAACTTTTAAAGTTTTTTTTCTTCTTAAATCTGAGTCCTGCGTGACTCTAGTAGTATTAAAATAATAACGTTAGCTTTAGCAACCGGGCTTATAACCTATTAGAACAAGGTCCCTTTAGTAGTATAATTACTATAGATAACTAAGTAGGAGAGGGACAAGGCAGGGTAGCTATAACATATTGTTTTAACTATCGTGTATTGTCTTAAGTCCCGTATTAACCGTGACGAGGACGTTATAGTGGGGCTACCTTCACGTGTAGCAAGTACCACAGGCCTACCTTCCACCAATCTGGACTGAACCCACATATTCTCAACAATTTTACTATTAAACCTGACAACAACACATTTCCTTGGTCCTCCCTCTATGGAAATTAAAAAAAGAACTCATAGGGGAAGACAATACGCTTATGCTTTTTAATCCGCGCGCCTATGCTCGCGAGAAGTAAGTGCGATAGCTAAAAGAAGGACAAAAGGTAACCACAACATTATCCACCAGGTCAAAAAATTTGAAAAAATAAGATGAAATCATTTTCAAAGAATGTTTCGTCCAGACTTACGTGGGACTCGAACCCACAACCTTGGCCTAGCAGTAGGAGGGCCACGCGCTACCATTGCGCCAGCAAGCCGTCTAGGTATCTAATCAAAATCGTGCATTAAATTCTGATTGATGTCCAAATTTTCAAAAAGTAAAATATATATACGCTCATTACCAATAGTGACAGGGGATGTAGCATCCTGTTCAAAGGCTCTGATAGAGACGACAAACGTTGGGGTGTTCGCGCTGGAGGCAAACAAAATTATGTGGGCGGGGGCGGGGCATCGGTGGTTACGCGAGGGATGTACCGCCAACTGCCTCTCATCAACATGGAACGTCACGATCCCACACCCACCTAAGCACTCTGTGCATTCGAAATAGCTCGGTGATTTCAGTTCAAATCTAGAAGATGTGTTTCTAACTTCGTCCGGTCCCGTCGCGTGCAAGTGATCGTAGTCTCTTCGATACCATCGAGCAACTGTGCCATATGGAAAAAAGCGATGCAGTTTTGATGTGCTAAGTCTACCGGTGCGAATACGCTACACACAAGCGGTAGATATCGCTACGTACAATAAAAAGTAAAAGCAATAGAAGAAATCGACGCATGGGAACAAGTGTGTACAAGGTACCAAGCACGACAGGAACGGTCTTCCAACGGACAAGGCGACCGCCAACAGACCTCAAGAAAGTATAATAGCAAGGAAAAGATAAGCGAATGGAACCACCATGCTGGTGCGTACGGAAAAAAGCATCGCTCAAAACTCATCCGAGCTCCTAACCATCATCACCATAGTCAACGGTGCGTTCGTAGTCGTCGCCTCTGCAACCACGACCGCGGGGAGCGTTGGAACCGGCGCGCCTGGGATAACACCAAAACCGCGTTTATCCTCGATGGCAGCAAGCTCTTCCTTGCAGAGGCGGTCGCGGCAAGGAATGACTTCGACGTTAGGCATATCCTCAGCAGTGAGTCGGCGCGTCGAGTTTGCATCGCTCAGGGCAAGGTCGCCGGCGTCGAGGCTGAAGAGATCCGGCGCGTCCAGCCCGAGATCGCGCCTGAGTACGACGCCCGGCATTGCGTTTTGTGCCTGCTGAAGGCGCGCGGCTTGAGGCGGGCGACTGTACTCAACTTCGAGCCCCTCCGCCAAAGCTCTGTTAGCGTCCGCACGGGTCGTGTAAAAGTAATCATCCGTGAGAAGTGGGAACCTGATCTGTTGACTTGGAAGGCTTTGACGCGGAGATTGGGAACAGCTCTTACCCAGGATCTTCGAGAACAATGGCAGATGGCTAGCATGTGTTGTCTCTGAGCCACCAGTCATTGCCCTTGTTGGGCGCTGCGCGACCATCCCAATCGAATACCATCGAGAACACCGCACGTGTATAATCAGCCTCGAATAATTCGGTCGTCGTCACCGGCTTCCCGTTCTTGCCTTCTTGGACTTTTTCTTCGACGCGGGAGTGATCAGCAACAACACTCAGATGGACTTACTTTTCCTGGGAGCTCCTTGTACGTCAACAAGTGCTTCATTGACATTGCCATCTTTGTTGAATTGGCCATTTTCGGCGCCGCCGTCGTTCTTGTTGCAGAAAGCCGTCCAAAGCGACGCTGCGCCGGTATTCTCTGAACGCGGCAACCAACGAACAAGCTGACCCTTCTTCAAGGCGATGTTGACGTCCAAGAGGTCCTCGACGAAGTACGCAGGGGGCCATTCATCCGCTTGGCACGCTGGAGCGCCAGGCTTCGCATTAGCTTGGGCAGGATATACGTAGTCGCTCTTGGTGAACACCCACCATGTTCTGTCCGTTTGCTGGTTCGTCCAGGACGATGTAGCTTTGGGGTTTTTTGCCCTAGCGTTGTCGTCCGTACAAGTGAATTGTGCATCTTTACCTCACCAGTCATAGTTCTGATGGACCGAGTAGTAGTGGGCACATGTTGTATCGAGTCAGCCGAGGACATTTGAGCCGACTTAAGAGAGAACAGACCTTGAAGCCACTTAGCCGCAGACCAAGTCACTTTAATGGTTTCATGTACAGCCGTGGACGCTCCCACTTGGACTTGAGTGAGAGTTACGGCTTTCTGTTTGTCGTTGTCGCGGTCCCTGTCTGGATTGCCTTTATCGCCCATACGATATTAGCTCACGCCCATCTAATCGAGCATACCATCTCGTGAGTATGCTTGCGTACCTTCTGGCCTTTGCCTTTGGGCAAGTCGGGGAGTCCCTTCCAACCCCAGTGACCCGGATCAAAGCTGTTCAAGACGTCGAACACCCATTTGATCTCGTCCGGCACGAACTAGGAACCGCCGCAAGGGGAAAGCCAGAAGTCGAATGCCTCATCAGGCTTTTGGTCCAACATGTGTTAGCGTCGAGGCTCGATTGTGCTGGGGATAAGTTCTTACCAGTGTCGTAATAATAGTCGATAAGAGCAGCAGCATAACCGGCGGCCTCCAGTCCAGCGTCAAGCACCTCTCCGACGACATGAATGGCCGCCACACCAATCTCAACGATGAGTTTCACCGTTGACATGACTATGAAGCAGCCAATTTGTGCAATTGCTGGGAGCGCTCCGACGACAGTACGAGGGGCTCGTTTTTAGTGAGACATGCCAAGGTCTTTCGGTCGGACAACCCAACGTTAAAACCCTTTAAAATGATTATAAATTATTTTTTTAGGAATATAAGAAAATAGCGCGGAATCTCCTCTTTTAGCTCTTGAATTTTCATAAATTAATATTTGATATTGCGGTTGTAATGCAGCACTGTTACATAGAATAAACCTTGGCATGTTTCTCACTAAAAACGAGCTCCTCGTATCTGCAATGACGTTGGCTAACGCGTTGTTACATGAATACCTGCTAAGACTCTCCTTTCTGCCCGAGCTTGGATTGACTGTCGACGGATTTGCGACGGTAGAATAGCATCAAATAGTTGCATCATGACCTACGCGCGTCGATTTCCCATGGGATTGGCTTGTCCAGTTCCCAAAATCCCATGCAGCCATAGTTCGTGGTTCGCCCTTCGTTGGCTGCGTCCCCAATCACCTTCTTGCAGGCTATAGCGGCACACATCATAGCAGATCTATCGTGGTCTGGTGGATCGTAGAGGTAGCACTTCTGGTTGTTCTCGAATCTCGCCTTGTCGTAATCGTAACTTCCGCCCACGATGCCATTCGAATCTGTGGGTTTGGGGGCTGCAGTTGTTTTCGTTGGCGATGCTGGGGCGTGTCTGGTGGCGCTACGCGCAACGGACGTATGGCCCCCGCTGTTGGTCTTATTATAAGCAACCAATCGAACCTTAGACTCGGGGCAAGAATTAGAGTTTATTCAGGGCACGATACCAGGCGCGTGAAAAATACTGGTAAAAAAGATATGTAGGAACGTGGTGGTAGGTGAATTCTTCATTAGGGGAAGAGCTGATCCCCGCGAGGACCGAAGATGTGCATCGGCTATTCGACCAGACGTCACGCGTAAAGACCGAAAGAAATATGCCCCTGCTGTGCAGTAACACCTGGTATTTTGGTATACAACGTACAGACTACCAGCTAGTTATGCAACTCAGTCGTGAAGCTACATAGTATGTTTTAGTCCCCTGTGTGATACGCTAGGATAAGCAGCACAGGTGGAGATTAGAAGAACCACACATGAGTACACCCCATCGTCGCCGTCCCAGACTCCGTCCACATCACCCAATTGCTTCCAAGCACCTCACGGACTCCCCCAGCACTTAAGACTCCTGATAGCCTCCGCCCAGGCGCCCAGATCCGGAACCTCCACATCTTCACGCGTCGAATCAAGCCGCAACACAGGAACATGGTTCGAAGTCGTGCAGTCGCTGACGTGGTAATAGCGACACACGGCGCCGCTCTGCTGCTTGAGGCTCTTGATGAGGCCCCCGACGAAGACACAAGCGTCCATCGCGTTGACAGTGGTTTCCGCGCCCCCGAAGTTGGTGCCGCTGTTAAGGGTGACCTTGCCGGGAGTTTGGGGAGCTCGCGAGGCTGGTTGAGGCGCCACGCCGTCGAATGAGGCGGTCGGAGTTGGTGCGGCGAGTGTGGAGATGGCGAGGAAGAGAAGGGTGAGGAGCTGGATAAAGAACATGGCGACTGGCGAGTCTGATCGTTGAAGTGATGTTAGGTGATACAGAATGCTCAAGTGGGTATCGATGGAGGTGGAGTGAGCTGGTGAGAAGTAAAGAGGAAGGAAGGTGGCTTTATATATTGTAGCGGATGGCAGGCGCAATCGATTCCAACCAGGAAGTGTCATGCCACGAATGGCAACGGCGGGATCCCCCGACCAACCGACCAACACTACAATCAGCTTCGCCGTCAGGTGGACCGCTCGTGAATGGCCTTGAGCCCTCTTGCACAAATCAGTGGTTAGGTGCGCAATATTTTCGATATCGGAAATGAGCATCAAACAGCTGGGGCTGCGGGAGCGGGACAAGCAAACAACGAACGACCCGCTCCTCATCGTACGATTAATCTTGCAGACACTACGGGTCTATGTCGCGGTTGAATTTGAACTGGCGGTAGCCGAAGCCCTCCATGGTCCTATACTGGCCCATGGCTTCCAGCTGCGTCCAAACGGCGGGGTAGTGCTTCTTGATCCACTCCTCGACCTTCTCCTGCCTATCGATGCTTGCCGTGCACTGGAACCAGTTGCCCAATCTGTCTCTCATTAGCGATGGCTCAGGCAAACAAACGGATAGTGTGGAGCTTACATATACAGATCCGGCTCAAAGCCGTACTCCGACTTAGCAGACTCGATTAAAGCGAGGGCTTCGTCGTGGCGATGGTTCCGCGCAATGGCACACATGTATGCGGTAAAAATCTGCTTGTCGATATCGACATCCATCTCCTTCAAGCGCTGCCATATAGACTTTGCGTGCCGCTCTCCGTAGTGCGTTCCCTCGCAAGCTCGGAATGCGATGACAATACTGTTGTAAGTAGGGCCCTCCTTCGACGAGCCGATTTCAGCCCAGAACTGCATAGCGCGTTTGTGGTTGCCGGTTGAGGCGTATGCTAGCATCAGGGCATTTCGAAGTTTGGTGTCCCATTCCACGTTGAGGTCGATCTTAAGCTGGTTGTGGGCCAGTTC